AAAGTTCATCATATGCCTCCATGTCGCACACTTCCCGTACCTAGTTTTCCATGGTCCCATTTGTCCATGGATTTCATTGTAGAACTTCCCAGTTCTAATGGCTTTACCACCATCATTATAGTGGGTGACCGCTTTTCCAAAATGGCTCATTTTGTTCCGCTCAAAATATTGCCATCCTCACAAGACCTAGTTCTTATTTTCATCCGAGAAATTGTCCGACTACATGGCATTCCTCACAATATTGTATCTGACAAAGGTTCTCAGTTTGTGTCTCAGTTTTGGAGGGCTTTTAATAAACAGTTGGGCATTGAATTGTCATTTTCTTCCTCTTACCATCCCCAAACCAATGGTACGGCTGAGAGGGCTAACCAGTCATTGGAATTGTATTTGCATTGTTTTATTAATAGCACACAGGATAATTGGTCCGAATTATTACCCTGGGCTGAGTTTGCTGGGAACAATGCTACCCACGACTCTTTCGGACATAGCCCATTCTTTGTTAATAATGGTCGTCATCCTACTATTCTGCCGGCTGTTTTTTTTGACACTGCTATCCCTGCTTTGGATGATCACCTTACTTCTATTCGTGAGACTTAGACCAAGGTTCACTCTGCTCTCGAACCTGCAGCTGATCATTTCAAATTTCATGCTGATAAACGGCTGGGTGCCAATCCTGTGGGTGAGAGGGTGTGGTTATCATTGTGCAACATCAAACTTAAAGTTCCTAGCATGAAGTTTGCTCCCAGATTTCTTGGTCCATTTCGTATCCTTTGTAGAATTAATTCTGTTTCATATTCTATGGCTCTCCCTCCCTCTTTACGTATTCTTAACACTTTTCATGTTTCTTTGCTCAAACCACTTATTTGCAATAGGTATACTATTCCAAGTGTTCCACCTCTCCCGTTGGTTGTTTCTGGACAGGAGGAGTATGAAGTCTCTTCCATAATCGATTCCAGGTTCTCTAGTGGTTCTTTACGGTATTTGGTTGATTGGAGGGGTTATGGGCCTGCCGAACGTTCTTGGGTTCCGGACTCCGATATTCATGCTGGTCACAAGATTCATTATTTCCACACCAAGTTTCCCCTCAAGCCGGGTCCTGCCCACCTGGTGGGCAGTCTTCATGTGGGGGGTAATGTCACATGTTCATCCCACGGTATTGACGAGGTCGGCCTGCGTTTGACGTCATGCAAAAAACGCGCACATACGTTCAGTGGTCAAAGGCCGGATACGGGCAATCAGACCTAAGGGAGGCTTATTTAAACTCATTTTTCCTTTTCCTCATTGCCCTGTCGTGGTTTCCCTTAGTGGTTGTCTGGGAGTGTGTTCCTGAGCGTTTATTTCTGGTTGACTTTGGCTTTGTTTTGACTTCCCTGTATTCTAGTATCCTTGACTTTTGGCTTTCTCTAATCGTTGTCTCATTCTGTGTCCCCAACCCCAACAAGTATTCTGACTATTCTATGGTACATTAAGTCCGGCCATTCTAAGGCCCGGTAAGACGTTACCTTTAGTCCTAGGTGTAATACAGTTCTGCGTGCTGGATCAACTAGTAATCCTGACAGGTGGCTTGTTGCTTGGCTGTTGAGCCTCTTAACTAAAATAAGAGTGTCGCGGTATGTTAGTAATGCACTATTTTTTAGATCAATTGCGTGACAATTTTATCACTTGTCTCAGAACGAGATCTCTATTTCTGTAACGATGTACGTTATGTGTTAGTAACTGTGTAGGTAGCAGTTACGTTTTTGATATAGTTGTGACAGTACAAATTGTATCGATGTGGGAAAATAGTATCACTAGCAATATAGGGTAGAACGTTAGCGGCAAACTGCCGTAGCTGATAATATGGAGATTTTCTATCATAGACAAACACTTATAGTGCTAATCCCTATTGAGTGCCTTCGAGGACACCCCTTAATCAAAAGCCTAATAACTTCTATGCCTAAGATAAACCTATTGCCCACCTGCTGTTTGGTTGAGTTAATACACAGTTGTAATAATTAGAGAATATCTAATAAGTTTAGTCTGAGGATAACATGGATTTTGTGCACCCTACCAAAATCTGATTACTGTTGAGGTATATTTCTCAGAGCCTCTGACGAGTGTTTCACCTCGTGGCTCACACATACATGCAATCACATACACTCAACTAAAATAGCGTGAATCTAATTAGTAAAATAAATAAGAAAAAAATATAAGAGAAAATTCTATTATATAAAATTCAAATAAAATTAAAAATTACATTTAAAAAAAAAAATGTTTATGGGAAGGAAGGGGAGATTACCAAAAATTAAATAAATCAAAATCATCATTCAGAATTTCAGACCAAAGTTTTAAGATTAAAAACCCAACTCATTTAAAATTTTTGCAGAAGCTTTTTAATATCACCTTCTCTCCAAGGTTTTTTATGAATTCTGATGACTTTTAAAACACTCGGATCATTGTTGTGTATTAGGGCTTAGATAAAGAGTGGTTTTGGAAGCCCTTGAATATGTATTTAGACCCTTGTGGTGAGTGCCTCTTTGAGTGACATCATGAGGCCTGTACATGCCTTTTTTAACTGAGTGCTAAAACAGCAAATTATGAAGCCTCATATCATGTAATGAAATTGTAGATTATTCTAGGGCTAGGCAAATATTTTCTCACCCTTTATTTTCTCATCCCTTGTTTGGAGTTTAGATTCTGAATTGGGGGATGAGTATGCAAGTCTATTTGTTTATGCTTCCATTATTTTAAATTGCTATTGTTTGTTATATATTCATTTGGTAAATATTTGTGTTTTTTTTGTACATTTATGTGTAATGTTTTATATGTTTTCCAAGAGTTTCTTGCTAAATTTACATGCTTTTCAAAATACATTTAATTGATTAGTTTGAGTTTTACATGTTTTAGTTTAAATTGTGAGTCCAGTGTTTTGCAGGAGAACATGTTATCTCTTCTGGACTGGAGTCTTTACAAAGATTTTTTTTGTTTTGGTTTATGTTCTTGTTGTTACCCTTTTATGTCTTGTAATTATGTCTCTGTATCATTTGTAGCTTGCACTTCCAAAGAGGAGGTGCTAGAGAAGTATGGGAGATTTATTTACTTAGATTCTTTTTCTGTATGGTTGTTTTTCTTGGTTAACTTGAGCCGCTGTGGAGTTTTAGTAAAGAGAGACAATCAAAATGTTCACCTCTTGACATTAGTAAAATTAAGATTATTGGTACAATGGGGGCATGGCCTGGCTAGTGGCCAAGATGGCTATCTTGTGACTAAGCTCTGCTCACATCTGGGTAATAACTCAGTAAAAAAGTAGATTTTTATACTTTAATTTATCAGAAACTTGCCTCATTTCATCATTATACCATGCATGCAGCAATCCAGAAAAATCTACCTTTAAGGTGAGTGTCCCCTCTCCTGGTCCTTCTGCAGTACCGCATCGTAACGTGATCCCTTAATATGCGGTTCAACAAAATGGATTGGATGCTCGAGGATGTTATGGATGCAGCAAGATAATATGGCACATTCGGATGAAAGCATTCATGCAGTCTCTGACCATTTGGGCACACAAATTCATGCAAAAGCAAGCAAATTTGGAGTTTCAGTTTCAGCACAGAAGGACGATTGGAAAGAACAAATTATTAGGTTTGGCGAATGAAGGCTGCTCCAAGTAAAAGAGTCTGTGCTTTCTGATTTACTGTGAGATGGTTTCCATTCATAGAGAAGTGGTTTCCGTGGAAATTTGTGTTTCTCAATTACAGAAAACTAAGATGGAGCAGGAGGAAGAAATAAGGGTGTTGAAAAAACAATATATAACAATCTCAAATGCAAAATGGCAATGAGGAAGTGAGACAAGGCAAGAAGTCAATATACCTCCTCTCCAGCACCACAGAAACCATAAAGGATAGACAACCAAAAGTCAACAGCAACAGCAAGTCCTTTAACATATACAGACAAGGCACCAGCAATTATTAGTAACAGAAGCTGCATCATAATCTCCTGTCATGTCACCCATCAACAAATCTTCTTTAATGCATTCATTAAGCCTATAATCATTCTATCACACTCTACCTCCAGCATTTCTTTTACCAATACTACTCTGTACATTACAGAAAAGGAGCATGATCTTGTTGTCTGTTATCTTCTGGGATCACATTGGGTCCTGCCAGAAATCAAACATGTGATTCTGTGTTATTGCTGGCATCCTAAACAAATGAACTATCTTTCCAAATATGATGGTTGAGACAATGCATCTCTATGGGGAATGTTCAGGCCCTCCACACAGAGCATGGGGATGATGAACACCAGAGCTGCACACCATGCAGTACTTGATTAGAAAGCACCTCTACTGGCTGTCTGAATGATTTCCACTAGAGGTTTTATTAGGCGCCAGTGTAAACACTGCCTTTTCTTTAAAAAGGCAGCATTTACAGTGCTCGGCCGGCAGGGACAGGCTATAGACACCCAAACAAGTACATTAAGCTGACTTTGAATTCTGACAATTCTCACTGTAGTAAATATTGTGAAAGGGAGTAGTCTGCTTATTGTATCAGCCCTAGGCTAGGGCAGGTTTGTACCATAATTACTGTACTATTAACATGTACAGGCACTGAAAAATATGCACTTTCTACATTCAGTGCATTATATTCTTTGTTACTGTCATACAATTTGCTGCACTATGAATTATACATATGCATTATACAGTAAAAGAATGCATTTGATTTGTAAGTGAAAATAGAAGTAAGAAATCTTATTTTTTTATTAACTTTTAATGTTATGTCTTATCTATGTAGATGTATGGAGACAACTCCAAACGAACACTTCCAGCTAGCTGACGTGTTCATGTTATAAATTATTCCATAAGCACTATTCAGTTCTGCATCTGTAAGGTGTTTTTAGTTGATCCAATATTTCAGTGATGTTATAGTCAGATATACATCACATTCTTACTGAAGCTTGAAACACCATCTCTTTAAATTACCATTTTTGTCACTTAAAAAGTGGCTTACCAAACAAACATCTGACAACAGAGAAGAATGCATTCTCCATTACTGAGGTATGTGCTATATTTCACAATATGTTACAGAATTGCATTGTTCAAAACATAATCTTTCGAAGTTCGATTATAAATGAAACACGGGAAATCAATTGTATGTCTTTTAGATCTTCTGCTGTTTTCATAGAAAAGTAATAATGTAGTCAATGTCATTCATTTTCATATTGTATGCCCTCTCAATAATGAGGTAAAAGTGTACGCAAAAAAACTTTACAGATCTCAGTCTATGCTCAGATATTCCTGCTGTAATTGAATATATTTTGAGGATAAATCTTGCCTAGAGGGTTAGTGCTTCACATAGATACTCTATGATATTTAAGATGGAGAAATATGCCAAAATATTAATATTGAGCCAAATATTTTGAAAATTAATGACTGTGCTGCTTTATAAATTCCCCCAAACTAAAATTATTATTAAAATTGTGAAATAATGTTTACTTTCAAATGTTCAACGTGATTTTTGTATTCATACAAAAAGTTATTGTATGAATACAGTCGTGGATGACCCAACAGTTTATGGCTATTTCCTGCCTTTAACATCTTTTAAATTTGAAGTAAGCCCTATTATCATTTGTCTCAACCTCCATTATTTATTTCAGATTTCAAACTTGCAGACTATCTTGGTTTGTGCTTGGTATAGAAGTTTAGTAGATTTTAGACTGATGAGCAAGGCTTTCAAATCATTTTGTAGCATTGTCATGTTATGAACCTGTGTTGTTTCCAGTCACTATCGTTTCTCAATACACCTATTGCACTGTGCTGTAGATAGATAGACATCCAGACAGACTTACAGATAGTAAGATAGATAGATAGATAGATAGATAGATAGATAGATACATAGATAGAGAAATATAGACAGAGAGACAGATAGACAGAGAGGTAGAAAGATCGATCGATTAGTGGAAGAAGCTGATGCTTTATAAATAATTATATGTAAATTTAATAAGCAGATGATAGTATTATTGAACATTTATATAATATATTTATATAATATATATATATATATATGTATTATGTGTTACAGTTTTAGAGCGGCTAAACATCCCTCTTGTTCTTAAACTATTGAAGCCGTAAACCAAATTGGTCCAGAATGGGTTAAATGAAAGGTTTCTGTGTATGTATATTCTGTGCAGGTGCAAAAGCTATTTTATAAAAGTATTTGCATATGTGGCAAATATTCCTGAAAACATAACAGCTAAGTAATTGTTTATCTTTTTGCTACAACTGCACTTCCACAAATTGGTTGTTTTGCACCTGGAACATTTGGATTAAGCCATTATGATGAACTGCTGTCCAAATGTCTAATATATAAAAAGCTAAGAGTGTTCTATCAACTTTTGTTAGCTCACAGAATGCCAGAAAAATTTCACAAAAACTGATAGACTGATACATACAAAATATTTTATAAATATACTTTCATATTCTGCTAGCCAATACACAAATAATTATTTTTAAAGAAGGAAAATCACTACCATCTCAGTTTGCATACTGTTACCAGTGAGTGTGTATCCACTGGTCAAAATGGGTTATTTTTTTATTATATTAATGTAGCCTAGCAACAGAGCTACTGACTAACATTAACTTTGTCTTCTAATAATGATCTCATCTTTTGACTGCCGTAGCCTATCTCTGGAATGTTGAGTTTTATACACAGAACTGTAGAACATGTATAAAATGTAATAATAATAATAATAATAATAATAATAGCAATGTCCAGTATTTATTAAGCAAAAACATTATCATGTTTAGATAAAGTGCCTAATTTGAGGGGATCACAATATCTGAAGACTCTGAAATCGAGAGGGGTTTCAATAATATTTAATAAAACACTAATAATAAAAGAAGATATTTACTATGGTAGGTCTGATTAATTCCCAGAAATTTACAATCTTCAATATGTATGTGCCAAACAAAGGGCAAATTAAATTTATTACTCAGACATTGAAAGCAATGAAAAAAATAGTTATAGGGACTCTAGTCATCTGTGGAGACTTTAATTTGCCTTTGGATCCATCTGTAGATAGAAACTTTATGGGAGAGATAAAATCGGATACTCATCTAGTTTAAAATTCTAAAAAGTTAAATAAAGTATTATTAAAGTATAATCTTTATCACACATGGAGAACTTTTCATCCTTTAGAGAGGGACTACTCATTTTTTTTCACACAGACATAAAATGTATAGTAGATTGGACTATATTTTTGTGGATGGGCAGGGTATTTCAAAGATTAAACATTCAGAAATAGGGGTGATCACTTGGTCTGATCATGGTCAGGTTGGAGTAAGTTTGGATATTGACCCTCCTGTTAAGAACAAGAGATCATGGAGGATGAACATAGAATTATTAAAAGATCAGGAAATACTTAAAAACTTTAAAAAATGAAACAGCTGCCTTCTTTTTGAGAAATGACGGAACTGTAAACTCTAAAGAAATAGTATGGCTCTCCTATAAAGATTACATAAGAGGGATAATGATAAAATGGCAGTCAGTTTTAAAGAATCAGAGAGGTAAATCACTGAGACTTACATAGAGAACTGGTGTTAGTGGATAGAGAAAATAAAAAATCCCCATCTGATCTAAAGATAAATAAAATTTGAGAATTACAATCACAAATAAAAAGAATTCAGCAACTATTGGTGGATAAATCTTTATGGGCTGCCCAACAAAGATCATACCATGGCCAAAATAGAGCAGGGAAATTGATGACTAGTAAGTTGAAACAAAAATTAAACAATGATAGAATAAACAAGTTATTATGTAACATTATTATTATGTAAAAAACTGTTTGTTAAACCTGATGATATTGCCGCATGTTTTGAGAAATATTACTATGATCTTTATAATTTGAATTCCTCTTATATAGATGTTAGTGGGAAAAAAATGAGAATTGTGGAATTTTTCGATAAGATCTATCTTCCCAGTGTTTCTCAAACAGAGTTGTATAAAATTAAATGAAGATATAACCGAACAGGAAGTTAAATGGGCAAGCAATCTCTAAATTGAGAGTTGGCTCAGGTCCTCGAACTGATGGCCTAGTTAATTAATTTTATTCACTTTGTCAAGAGGAGATCTCCAGCTATCTGTGTCAAAATTTAAACGAAATTAAGGAGGCAGGTCAAGCACATCCAGAAATGTTGGAAGCTCAAATAACAATCCCCAAAACAAACAATCCAACCCCTGAATTTAGGGACTTTAGACCTATTTCCCTACTAAACGTGGATATTAAGATCTATGCTAAAATTTTAGTGGAAAGATTGAATCAATACATCCACAATCTGATCAATTTTGATCAAACAGGTTTTATCCAGGAGAGACAGGGTTCAGATAACATCAGGAAACTCTTAAATTTAATCTTAGTGGTTAAAAATAAAAAATACAGCAGCAGTGTTTGTAAGACTTGATGATGAGAAAGCATTTGACAGGGTGGATTGGGACTTTATGTTCCACAACCTGTCAAAATTTGGCCGAGGTGACTTTACCTCTAAGGCGATAGCTGCTCTATATACATCTCCAACTGCGTGAGTTATGGGTCAAAACTTTCGGTCTGAAAGGTTTGTCATCTCAAATGGTACTAGGCAAGGTTGCCCACTGTCTCCACTAATTTTTGCTTTGATCATTGAGCCACTGGCATGTGCGATAATGGAATCTCTTGATATAACAGGAATTGTTGTAAATCGAAAATCTCATGTAATCTCTCTTTATGCTGATGATGTAATAATAACAATAGACAATCTGTAAAAATCCCCAATAGTCCTGCAAGAGGTTATAACTGAATATAGTGAAATATCTAACTATAAATAAAATGTAAAAATATCGGAGGCGGTGTCTGAATATGGGGCGGTCTGAGAAAAAACTTTCTTAGCCAACTATATCAGTTTAATTGGCAATATTCAATAACTCATCTAGGAATTAAACAGAAATGTGCTGAAATGGAAAAAACTATAACAGCTAACTAACAATTAGTTTATTCTAATATAATGCAAGTGCTGGCTACATGGAATATTCTTAATATATCCTGGTCAGGTAGAATAGCAGCGATCAAGATGACTATATTACCTAAGATCACCTGTATTATGCGATGCAGACCCTGGCTGTGTCCCGTTTATTTGTTGAATAACGGGCGATAGATGTATTCATCCATCAGAATAAAGGAATGCGAATTAAGATACCAATTTTGGCCAAAAATTCTGGGGGTGTGATTTCATATCCAGACAATCAAAAATATCAGAAAGCCTCCCTTCTGGCACAAATACTGAGATGGGAGGAAGAAGCACAAAACAATAATTGGGTATCGATAGAAGTCTTTTTTTTTTTTTAAAGAAACACATCTGAACTCAACTCTTTTTTAGAAATGACTTATCCAGTGGTCTAGTGCATAGTAAAACTTCACCATTATGGAACTTTCTCAAAGGCTGGCGGAATTTGAATCGTAAATATTCCCTGATTCCATTTCCAAGTCCGATTACGCCTATTTTATGGATTCAGGAAAAGATTAATTCTCCTTTGTTAGAGATATTACGAAAGGTTGGATGTAGATGCTTAAGAGACTTATATGTTAATAATGAATTCCTTCCATTTGACTATATTCAGTCTAATTTTAATATTCCTGCTAACATGTGGTTAGAATATAATAGGTTGAAATCGAGTATTTACTCATCGACTTATCGCCTACAAGAGTTTAGACAGTTGCCTTTTGAAAAAATAATATGTTCAACAAATAGGAAGCATATGCTTTCGAAATGTTTTAGTCTTTTGAGAGATGGGGACTTGAACACCAAATGTCTAAATATGAAAATTTGTGAAGAAGAATTAAATCAATCCTGGCCCATGGAAATATGGTCAGCTGCCTCCGTTTTAACTGATAGATTAATTAAACACGTCTCATACAGGGAGTTATACTTTAAAATTGTAAACAGATGGTATGTAACGCCGCTTAAACTTTGGCAAATGAAGAAAGATGACACTTCTAAATTTTGTTGGAGAGGCTGTAACCAAGTAGGCTCTGCGATACATATGTGGTGGTTTTGCCCTCATATACAAAAGTATTGGAAGGAGGTAAAATATGGTGTCTCTTGTATAATTGGTGAAAAGATTTATTTAACCCCAGAACTGGCTCTTTCACTTCATACCTAGTTACCGCACAAAAGAACTAAAATCCCTCCTGCTCGGTATTTTTTCAATATCGAAATGGTTGATTGTTGTAAATTGGAAAGCAGGAAGGTTGCCAAAATGGTCAGATGTGGAAAGGGTGATGCAGAGAAACAGAGCATTAGAAAGAGAGGATGGATACTCAGGGGTTTATATAGCCCCGAAGTATAGGTGGGCCCTTTGGGACGATTATTGTTTATCCCATGGACAGAATTCTTTACAGGTTTTTTTCTCCTCATCAGCTCATTTCCCTGTGGAATCTCGGAACAATGTATGTGATATGTGTGTGTTTGTTAAACATGGGTATTGAGATTTTTGAATGGTCTTATTCCATCTTCCCGGGTTATCTATTATACAGTTTTTGGCATATCTCCTCATTCCTATTTATATAGAGTGACTCTATCTGCCGTACAGAAGAGGTTTATTTGTTATAGGGGCCTTTTTTTTTTTTTCAGGATATGGACGTAGATGACGATCAATATGTGGAGTTGGAGTACGCCTCTAATATAGGATGATGGGGAGATTGGAGATGAGAGTTGGGTAGAACACCCCCTGGGCAGATGGGTGAAGGGCACAAGTTATTATCTGTATTTTGGCTTATTAGCATACTAAGATATGTTTTATTGTTTGATAGACTGTTGTAGGTTTCTTCTATGTTTTATGTGTAACCAGTTTCAAACAGGTCGAGTGTGTTGTATGTAAATGATTTTTATGTATTTTGTGATAAAACTAATAAAAATGTATACAAATAATAAAAAAAAAACAATATCTGAAGACTGTAACTTACAGCGCTCTGGTTTAATTTGTGTGGTCAAACTTTGATATTTTATAATGAGATCTTTTTTTTTTTTTTTGCATTAATCACGTCTTTCTTTCCAATACATTTCTAGGTATTATAATCACCATTGAAAATTGTAAAATATTGATTTACATATTGATTTTTATGTATATGGAAAGTGTTTTGATTGCTTTCAATTATGCCATGTGTACAGAAAATAAAATGTTAGACAGCTAAATATTTGCAAAGGTGCAACACAAAAATAACAGTTAAGAGTGTTGATACAGAAAAGAAGACTGTTTAACAGATTTTAAGTAATATAAAATTGCATGTTTTCTAAACAGTCACTCCAGTTTAGATTTTGCATCATGAATCACAGATTGAACACAGAGAGAGTAAAAGTTGTATATGTGCTGTTCAATCACGTTCTCTGTGTTCTGCACTATACATCAAAAGTGAACGTTCAAATTTAACCTTCTAAATATTTCTGACAAATGATTGCTAACAAAAACCACAGATGCTCTCATCTGACTCTTCCCAGTAGCTGCCTTATATTGTAGCAGATCTTAATATGAAAATACAGCTCAACCTCACTGTTAGAACATTGAATAGTGTTAAGTAAATTGAGTGTGTTCAGTGATATCCAGCATATACCAGAGGCATTTTAACAATGCACTCATTCAATATTTGAAACAAAATATAATTGAATTGGAGGCTGAAAAAATGTAGAAAGGTTCCCTAGATGAGATGATCCAATGCTTTCCATATTCCCAGATCAGTAGTTGCTATCTATTTCTTTGAACATCCTGTGGTGTTTCTTACCTAATCTTACCTTGTGAAAATAAATATTTTTCCACTACAGTATTTACTAATGATTCTCAAATGTACTTCAATGTTATATATAAAAATGGGTTTCTGGTTTGATACTGGGAATGACAATGATTTTATGAAAGACACAGAGAGGAGTATTGCTTAACCCTTTCTTTATTGTCCACCAATAGCAGCAAAGAACACAAATAGAAAAAATAGAACATATACAGTAAGACACCAGCCAATCCCCATCCAAGTCCCAGTATAACAGCAAGCACCGCCTCTAAAGCTGCCTCTTTCTTTGGAGATGCGACACATGAGAAGAGATATTAAACAGAGATATTAAACAGAAAATCCCAACATACAGAAAACACGGTCATGAAATCCAGAAAATGCCAGTCCATGGAACTTCTCAACCAAAAACAAACTTTAAGACAGTAATGGAATCCAGCCATCATTAGCGAAACAGACCGGGAAGAAGTGAGGATCATCGAGCAACACCGAATCAAGCTGTGAAAACACAAAGAACAGGAGCCCAATGTTTATATCGGTACTAAAACCAAATTGCAAATGTCAATAAACATGAATCCAATAAAAAGCCGATCGTTATTACAAACAGTGCAAACCCACCATACAAAAACATGAAAAAGTTGAACCAGGACATACGTGAACATAAAACCACGAAATAAATACAGTGCATACAACATAATACCTACCACACCCTGGAATCCCAATATGAGAGAAAAAGTTAGAAGGGAGGAATAAAACAAGTTAAACAAACTCACAAAGGTGGGACAATACTCGCCTTGGTGTCTAATAAAATCATAAATTTTCAACATGAAATAGCAAAATCATGTAATTTTATGTCAAGACATGGAGGCTGATATTGCAAGTTTAAAGCTGACCAACAACCGAAGAAAAAATGTGAGAGACTAGCCTAAAATAAAATTTGCAGGAAAGCATCCACTGTCTCCACAGCCGGGTCCGGGTGCCAGTTGTAGAACCGCGACAATTGGGTGTTGAGACGGGATGCAAATAGTTCGATGGCAAAAGGACCCCAGAGAGACAAGATAGTGGAGAACACCCCTAACCTCCAGTTGCTGTTGTCCTAAAGATAGCATGAACTCCAGTCCGCGTAAATGTTTTGGAGTCACGGGAGGTACTCTGCCTGGACCACCAAATCTCTGGCCAAGCAATACATCCAAACATCCTTCACCAGGCTAGGCAGAACTGCCGACTGTGTGCCACCCATGTAATTGACATAACGAACCACCGAGACGTTGTCCATGCGCAGCCGAATGCATGCGCTGGCAGTCCCATTTGAGATACTCTTTAAAAAAAGCAGAGAGGTTGTGGATCCACCAAGTCAATTTGTCTCATGTCTCAGTGTCCAGAGGGACCATATCCACGGAGGAGGTGCTGTTGCGGACGTGTGTGATCTTCAGTTGCTGGAGGGCACGGTAATGAAGAGGAGTCGGAAACACCGCTTGAATTTAGGATGCCAGCAGGCCAATGATCCATGCCAGATGGCGTAGCATGTGTGCCAGTGTGTAGCATAATTGCTGACAGGTGGTCAGAATCTTGAATGTTGGAAGGCTCAGTGACTACGCTCTGGAATCTACGGTGAAACCGAGGAACTCTATGCATCTCGAAGGAGTCAGGCAGGACTTCTACCAGTAGAGGAGGAAACCCAGGTGAGATATGAAGTCTATTGTCCATTGCAGGTGCCTAAAGAGGACGGAGTGATCCTGTGCCATGATTAGGATATCATCCAAGTAGACCTTGGGTGCGTTGCCTGAAGGGACTGAACCAGAACGCGGCTGGCGCGTTGGTGGACCCATACTTTCTGTGTCCAGTGGGTGCGAGAGTAAGGCCTGGGAGATAGTCTGAGAGTGGGCAGAGGACATGGAGCCCATAGCTGCAATAATGGCATCAGTGACTGAGCATTGCAGCGCAAGGGACTGAGTCTCATCAGGGTGAGACATAGGGCCAACTACTGATGGAGGGGAGCTAGAAACTGAATAGGGGTTCCCCAGGCCTTGAGGCATATCCATCTCATCAAGGGAAGGGGGCAGGCAGGCACCTTAGGCTTGGGCATATTGCAATGTGAGACCCACAAAAAACCAGCACAATACTAGACCCTTTTACATAAAACTACAGCTGTAGGCAAAATAATAATACTACAGGCTAGTAGGGGTTAATCACCCAAACTAGCTGCACCAAAGATGGAGAAAGAGGGAAGCTCACAAGGCCCAGACCATCAGACAGGGTAGATACAAGGCAAAGAAAGAGCCAGAAGGACGAGTAAAATCAGAAAATGGCCACCGTCAGTCTTGTGTGACTCGTGGCAATAAATCCCGCGAACGCATCCAATTCGCAAACCAAAACTTGGCGAACGGGACAAATTTATTGAACAAACTAATGGACAGCCATTCGAGCCCAAAAAAAAAAAAGAACTAGAAACCATTAGTGGAAAAAATAGTTGAACGACATGGTTCGCGGCAAAATTGCCAAACAATACCATTTGCGGCCAATCTCCCAAACGGCAGGAAATTGCGGCAAAATTTATTCAGAAAGCCCAAGTCTGTCGCGAAACAGCCGAACAGATGGCACAAAAAACAGGTGCAAAACAGCGCCAAACAGCCAGAAAGAAGTGGTAGACCCAAGAAAGACAGAGAAAACAAGGGAAAATAAGGAGACAAAGGGAGGCAAACCCCAAGGGACCCCCCAAAGGACAGGAGCAACAAGGCAAAGTCAAAAGAGAGGGGAGAAACACATGCAAGAAAACCCCAGAGGATGGTCTGGAACCCTGGGCTCAAAGGTATATAACATTAACCAAAAACCATATAAAGTAGTAGAATAAAGTAGAATAACAAGATAGAATCAACTATGAAAATAACCGAAACATATAGAAGGCAATTAAAGACAGATAATGCTAAGACTAAAAATTCTGGTACTTATCTTGACTGTGGAGCAGCAAAGTAAGAGGAAGTTTTAGAGGCGGTGCATGCTATTATACTGGGACTTGGATGGGGATTGGCTGGTGTCTCACTGTATAAGTTCTATTTTTTTTGTTTGTGTTCTTTTCTGCTATTGGTGGACAGTAAAGAAAGGGTTGAGCAATATGAGCCTCCGTGTCTTGACATAAAATCAGGGATTATCCAAGTAGCCTACTACTACATCTGTATATACAGTGTCAGCATTGTTATTTGATTTTGTTTTTATATTTTTTTGTTTTCATTTACATTTTCAAAACAAGTAATATTTAAACTGCTGATAGATATCACTTGTTTTTTTTTTTAAATGTATTGAAAAGGTGTAGGCTAATATTATACTTTTCTGTAACTATATATGTCTTTAATTTATATACAGAGAATGCTATGGATAATCATTCCTATATCCTTTGAATGTAATAGTCCTAGGAAAGCGCAGCTGATACCAGAGGTTTAATTTTCATTAATGTGTTATTGCCTTGTTATTCTGTTACTTCTAAAGCCTGCGACACCAATTAGACCCAGATATGTAAGTTTAGTCTAAGATTTAATATTTATAATTTTTTTATTATACAAAAAGTGCAGTCCTCTCTTGACCTTTCATACTGTTGCATCCATGTCTTATCTTTATCCATCTTGTAAAATGTTTATGCATGCAAGAATGTCAAACTATGCACTACAAAAATAAAGAATTATAAAACAAAAAGATCCCTCAGTTGCATCTTATCTTAAATCCACTTAACAATCTAAAACAATGTAACCACCAAAATCCAGCCCACATTCCATGGGCATCAATCACGCTCCTTGTTCCTCCGGTGTACGGGGGGGTCCTATATTTTTTATATGTATAACTGCATTCAAATAAACTCTTAAAAATGTTGGTAACATTTATATCACACAAATTAAATGGTAAGTTTGATTTTGCCAAATATATGTTCGATTGCAGCAAATGGATGCCATTTACTTGTTGTAACTCTTCCAAATGAAACCATGTTTTATCTTTTTTAAGAATTGAATCTAAAAACATACTTTTTTAGCTATCCAAAATGTTTACTGGTCAAACTTAGGTTATTTTATTTATATTATGTTTCATTTTTTTAACATTTTTAAGAGGAAGATTGTTGCATTTTATCACTAAATGGTATTGTTGCAAAAATTACATCCAAGTGTTTTAGCTGGAATTGAAATAAATTAATAAATTAATGAAAATAAATTTAACTGACATCTTCATGATAAAACTTCACAATTACATATCTAGTTTGGCCCAGACTTCTTTCTCAAAGGCCTATCAGCTAAATCCCACTGGCAAGGCCATAATGATCATCTAGCTATTATCCTACCTATAAAATAAGGCCAGGGACTAATGAGTATTTAGAAAATTAGGCAGACTAGATGGGCTGAATGGTTCTTATCTGCCGTCAAATTCTATGTTTCTATCTGAGCTTGATGTCTCATGCAGAGTGAACTGGCATTTACAGTTTCAGATCTGAACTTCCCGTTTGAATGTTATCAGTCTGATATGCAATTGTTGAGGATTTCTCTGTAATGACAGAAGATGAGCTAAGATGAGCCTTAGGACTGAGTGGGGACCCACCAAATAACAAGCAATTGGAGTCGTTTTCCACTCTCAGTATTCTCTTGTGCCCTGTTTTAGGCATCTTTCTCAATGTCCATTTGAAGACTTGTGCCTGGCCTCAGGGTGGGATGATATGTACAATTTCCTCAAACAAGTACCAAAGGATGTTTTAACAGGCCGCATAAAAAAACCTGTTGGCACCATTCTTTTGAATACAATGGACCTCAACATGTTTTACTTGTATCTGTGATGACACCAGGGTACAAATCACTTTTGTACTTCAGCACACACAATTGCCAACAACTTCAGAATTTTTTGCCCATGAACTTCTGTGGCAGCTTTGGGACCTGTCTGTTGATTACTGGACCTGAAATACATTGCATTAAAGCACTCACAATTGAGATTTTGTGTTGTCGTGCACAAGCAGCTGATGTCTCTGAATGTCAGTTCTCGATGGGCTGCTGCCTGATGGATCCTCATAATAGACAGAACTGATGTCACCTTAATGGACATCTCTTAAACTGCATTCTTAACTACTTCCTTGCTGACATAAAAATAACTTCCTTGTGGTGTCTGTCTTTTTGCAACACAGCAAACAGCTCTGTGACATCATAGAAGTCTGTCCTTTTGCTGATTAGGTTATCAGCCCTCCTTTTCAGTGCCCCTCCCACATCATCTGGAACATACTGCTCATGGTTCTCCTCAAAGATGTTCCATGTCCCAGCAGTGAACCGTCCCTGTATATTCATTTTGTAATACAATTCATATTGCAAAAACGATCTTAAATGTGTACAACTTTGGAAGTTGTATAACTAGTATTATATCAACTAATATTCACACTAAATAATCAATATAACATAGGATGCTACTCCCTATTGTTACTGTCACTCTATCATGCTACATATTAGATAACAAAAAATGGGTCGCAAGAGTATTCTGAGAATGGACAGCAGCTTAAATAGCCTGCCCTTCGGTGGGTCCCCGCTCAGAACTCAAGCTGGTTTTAGCTCATCTTGTGCCATTACAGAGCGAACATATCTGAAGCATATCAGACTGGTCCCACCCATATGGGCAGTCCAGATCCGAAATGCCAGCAAGTTCTCTCTGCACGAGAGATACAGCTACCCCAGGCGATCGTTTCAGCCTTGTTAGGCATCATAAGTGAGGCATAGCTGATATCTCTCTAGGCACCGTGAGCAAGGGGTCCACGTCATGCTACATATTAGATAACAAAAAATGGGTCGCAAGAGTATTCTGAGAACGGACAGCAGCTTAAATAGCCTGCCCTTCGGTGGGTCCCCGCTCAGAACTCAAGCTGGTTTTAGCTTATCTTGTGCCATTACAGAGAGAACATATCTGAAGCATATCAGACTGGTCCCACCCATACGGGCAGTCCAGATCCGAAATGCCAGCATTTAGATAAGTATTAGATAAGTAACAGGAGGGGATTTTTTAGCATAGAATTAGCAAAAACCTGTAATAACACTTGCTTTTAATCTTCCTGTGGCCTTCAGAAGATCCAAAGGATGCAACTTCCTGTTAAAAAATATGTCTTGTGGAGTGTTCCAAGTTTTTCAGAGATGGGAATATATTTGGGTAACAGGACTGAGTGAAAACCTGGTGTCATGACTAAAATGTGTGTTTTATCTAAAATAATATAGATTTCTTATGAAAAAAAATAAATATTTAAAGCATAGATGGAATATGGCATCAAACAACAATGCAAAATAAATATAAAAAAGATTTCTGAAGGATTTTTATTGTTATATTTCATAGTTAAGTGAAGTGTTTCATACTGGGGACAGGTAACATGCTATTTTTCAGTGTTCTAGGTATTATTTTATGACTTATACAATTTACATTTGCAATTAGATTAATGTGCAGGACTCTTTGCTTAGTAATAAAAAGTATTTAAGAGCAAATTTTCATGCATATTTATACGTATAATGTTCTGGGGTACAGAAATGGCACCCATCCGGTGGAATAGCTCAAACAATATGAATGTGTTATTGCCAGTCTTCATTGTTATAATGCAAATAGCCTGAATTCATAAAAATGCATAAAACAAATATTTACAATGAGCTGGTTATATTTATCTTTATGAATGAAGACCACTGTACTAATTTTGAAAGATAGGAAAAATAATTGAGGAGATTTTTAAATGCGTAACTTGTAATTTTAACATATTATTGTATAAATGTGCACTTCTATGTTTAGGTGACTTTTACTAAAATGTGTATAATTTTACGTTTTACATGGGGCTATATTATTCTACTATATTAGCAGAAGAAGGGTCTACTCTTCTTATTAAATTGACTTCAGTTGAGGAATTGCTATTCAATAGGAGAATAGAGCGCCTTGTTTTTATCCCTACCATTTACAGACAAATTGGAACCATTTATAGCTAATTTATTTGTTCCCTTTAATTGTGTATCACTTTATATTTACTCACCTTGCATACAGCTCTGTGAAATATCAAGATTGTACTCTTATTTGAGCTGGCCTCCCATCACTTCTTGTTCATACATTTTAAATTGACTTGTGCACAGTGAAAAATGTTTTGTCTGGAAAAAATACATTCTTTCAGTGAAATCAGGTTTCGTCCATGTGGCTTTTCAGTTTGGAAAAATCACATTTATGTGATTGTTTTGATTGTTGGAAAAAATTGCTATAAGTGTACGGCAAAATATATAGGTAAGATAAATATTATATATGTATTTTGTCAGTACACATTTTTACACCATTTGGTTTACAGATCAAGTAAGAAGAATTAACCAATAAAGGCAAAAAAGGAGGAACAATAAAAACCTAAATTTACATATATGTATATATTATGGATTTCTTAATTAATATTTAAATATAAATTATTTACTCTTTTTTTTTTTCTCTCTTTAGCCAGTTTTACTAGATCTGTGAATAAAATAAATATTTAGTGACCACTCCCTCACCATCGATCATTTTTTTGTTTATTGGGGGACGGCATGGCAGAACACTGAATCATGAAACTAACTAAATGGCTGGTTCATTCCCAATTTCGTTTGTTTCATGACAAATAGTAGGGATGTGCATGGGAAAATAATTTGGTTCGGCATTCTGAAATTCAGCACTTCGGCAATTCGGCACTTCGCAATTCGGTTCGGTTCGGCATTTCTTTCGAGACTTAGGCAATTCACCACTTCGGTTCGGCACTTCCGAAATTCAGGACTTTTGCAATTTGGCACTTCAGTTCAGTTTGGCACTTCCGAAATGTGGGACTTTGGGAATTCAGAGCTTCGGCACTTCAGCACTTCGGCTCTTTGGGTTAGTGTAGGGTTAGGGTTGGGTTAGGGGTAGGGTTAGGGGTAGGGTTTAGGAGTAGGGTTAGGGTTAGGTGTAAGGTTAGGGTTAGGGTTGGGTTAGGAGTAGGGTTAGTAGGGTTAGGGTTAATAGGGTTAGTGTTAGAGTTAGGGTTGGGTTAGGAGTAGAGATAGGGTTAGGGTTGGGTTAGGAGTAGGGTTAGGGTTAAGAGTAGGGTTAGGGTTAGGAATAGGGTTAAGGTTAGGGTTGGGTTAGGAGTACGGTTAGGGTTAGGGTTGGGTTAGGAGTAGGGTTAGAGTAGGGCTAACCCTAACCCTACTGCTAACCATAACCCTAACCCTACCCTAACCAAACCCTACCCCTACTCCTAACCCTAATCCTAACCCTACCCTAACACTACTCTTAACCTAACCCTAACCTAACCCTACCCTAACCCTAACCCTACCCCATCACTACTCCTAACCCTACCCCGATCACTACTCATAACCCTACCCCTAACCCTACCCCAAACCCTATCACTAACCCTACCCCAATCCTACCCCTACCCATTCTGCCACTTTTCAGAACTCCGAATCACTTCGGCACTTCCAAAATTCGTCACTTTGGCAATTTGGTTCGGCACTTCTGAAAATCGGCACTTCAGAAATTTGAAATTCAGCAATTCGGTTCGGCACTTTAGAAATTCTGCAATTCGGCACCTCGGACATTCTGACATTCGGAAGCATCCGAATGTCCAAATGTCCGAAATTCGTCCGAATTTTAATTCGGACCAAACCGAATTGCACATGTCTATCAAA